CTGATAAATCTGAACAACTTAAGGCCTATCTCATTACTCCCATTCCCTGGCTTTCACTCACAGCACTCCTTAGAACTTTGCTACTAAAACTCACGATTTACTGACTGCTAGAACCAATGGCCATTGCTCCATACTCTTACTACTAGACCTTTTTGCAGCCTTTGATATTATTGACCACTCACTCCTCCTCAATAAACTCCACTCCCTTGACCTGAAAGAGTCTGCAAATTCCTGGTTCCTTTCTATCACAGCAATCCTTCAGTGTTACCTACAACTCTTTCTCCTTCTCACTTTCTCTTTTTGTAGGGGCCTCTGTTCTTGACCCCTTCTCTTCCCTATCTACACCTTCTTTTTTGGTCACTTGATAACTTCCTACATTTTCCAATAACATCTCTGCACCAATGACATCAACATCTTTCTCTCTACTACTCACCCTACTCCTTCAGTCTTCTTTCATATTACTAACTTACTAATTGACATATCAACTTGTATGTCATGCCAATTCCTCAAACTAAATTTTTTCTAAAACTGAGTTTGTAATACTCCCCCTTTGCCCCCTACACTCATGCCCTCCTACCTGACTTTTCCATCAATAATACAAATATCATTCCCTTCCAAGGGGTTAAAGTTGCATGGCTGGTTTGTCGGCTCACTCATTAACAACCGGCTATTCTTCACACGGAATTTGGATTGGATCGCTATCTTCAATTCAATACTAATGCTAATATTTAAAAAAATGTAGAATGCGTTAGAAAATTATAAATAAAAAAAAACAAACTTAAACAAAACTTCAGAAAATGAATCATCCGAATGTATTGAATGCAACTAAATGAAATGAAAACTCCTTAGAAACCGTTCTCCTAAATTTCACAAACAATTTACTAACAGCTAAAACCAATGCACACTATTCTGTACGCATACTTATGGCCCTTGTGACTGCCTTTGATAAGGTCAACCATCCCTCTTCCTCAAAAAAAACTTTACTCCTTTGGTCTCTGTGACTGTACTCTTTGTTGGTTCTTTTCCTGCCTATCCCACCACACGTTTAGTGTCACTTACAATTCTACTTCCTTTTCTCCTCTTCTCCTCTTCCTTTATCCATCAGGTCCCCCAAGGTTCTGTTCTTGGACCTCTCCTATTCTCAATCTATAACTCCTCCCTGGGTCAGTTGATAGCCTCCCATGGCTTTCAATATCATTTCTATGATGATGACACCCAAATCCATCTCTACTTCTCAGCTCAAAACATTAGTCTCCTCATGCATCACTAACTTACTGACTGACATATCATACTGGATTTCACACCATTTCCCCAAACTCATTCTTTCCAAAACTGAGCTCTTAATATTTCCTCCCCCTTCCCCTGACTTCTCTGTCAAGATCAATGGCACAGCCGTCAACCTGTTACCACGTGCCTGGGTGCTAGGTGTAACCCTGGATTCTGAACCCTCCTTTAGGCCCCACATCCAATCACTTTCCAAAGCTTTCTGTCTCAACCTCCTGCAACATCTCGAAAATTTGTCCCTTCCTAACCAATGACACCACAAAGCTCCTAATTCCCTCCCAGGTTCTCTCGCCTCAACTACTGCAACTCCATCCTCATTGGCTTACCTTTGCATAGTCTATCTTCCTTCAGTCCATCATGATCGCTGCTACCAGGCTCATCCACCTTACCAACCATTCAGTGTCTGCTACCCCTCTCTGCCAATCCCTGCATTGGCTGCCACTCACCCAATTAATTAAAGTAAAAAATACTAACAACAACTAAAAAAGCCACCCAGCTATATCACTAACCTAGTCTATAAATACCAACCAAATTGCTCTCTTTGTTCCTCCCAAGACCTCCTGCTCTCTAGTTCCCTTGTCACCTCCTGCCATGCTCGCCTCCAGGACTTCTCCAGAGCCTCTCCCATCCTATGGAGTTCCTTACTCTAATCTGTCTGACTATATCCATCTCTATTCACTTTTAGCCTCAGAAAACTTTTCTTTTCAGAGAAGCCTATCCTGCCTTCTTCTAACAACTGTACTTTTATTTTCTACATCAACTCATCCCCCACACTTATTACCTTTTGTATCACTTGACCCTCCCCTTTTAGATTGTAAGCTCTAATGAGCAAGGCCCTCTGATTTCTCCTGTGTTGAATTGTATTCTGAGTGTATTGTTTGCCCTCACATTTTAAAGTGTGCTATATAAATCCTGAATACCAATAACAATAATACAAAACTAAACACATTTTTTGTTCTGCACATGTTAAAATCTGCATTTTTTGCTAGAAATTACTTTACCCCCCCAAAAAAAGATTTTTTTTTTCTGAAAGCAGAGACTCTGGAGATTAAATTGGTGCAACTGAAAAGTTTTTATCTTGCAAGATATTTCCTTAGCCATTTATCGAACACATCTTTTCCAACAGGAATATACTAAAATGAATTTTAGTGCAAACACGACATTATACCCAATTTTTTGGGGAAAAATATAGAAGGGTTGCGTGAAGTAAATGGATACCATGCATATCAAGCTTTAACATTTTGCAACATTGTGAAATTGCAACAAACTATGGTACTCAAATTTCTTCATAGATTGATGCTTTAAAGTGGATCATTAGTCAGAAAAGTCCTGCTAGATGACTTCATGTTGGCCCCTGTTGTGAGTATAACTACATTAAAAATAAGTGCCTATACTGTTTAAAATCCAGTAATGTACTGATCTACCCTATTCTGCACATGCTCAGTTGCTCTCTGTTTCTTGGCTCTGTGCCTAAAATAGGAGCCACTAGAGGTCAATCTGCTGACAGCCTAAAGATGTACTGCTTGTGAGGTTTGGAGGAAACATCAGCAATAACACAGACTGTGCTGAAGGAACACAGATTAGGGAGATAGAAAAGAAAGCAGCAAATATGAAAGGACAAACTCTTCTGTCAGGGAGACACACAATAATTAAACCTACAAGGATAGTGTCTTATCTTATCTCCCTAATTATCTTTCTCCCTCAGCAGCAACAGCCTCTGCACTTCAGCACTATAAAGCTTCTGTCAGCCTTCCTCTCCAGCTGAGCGGATACAATCAAGGCTGGAAAGTGACATTGCGACCAAGAAGAGAAGGAAAGTTTCTAGTAAGGAAGTGACTGCTCTGGGCTTAAACAAAATGGTGGCCTCCAGCAAAAAGAAATAGCAGCATGCTGGAGGCAATTTACAGAACATTTTGATACCATAGTTATTAATGCGGAATGTGCTATTTTGTTAAAAAGCATTCGTTGTTATCAAAGTTCTGCTTTAAAAGCCTTTACAGGTTATCACTTTAATGTTAACTGTGATTTTTTTCCACAAATATTTTAATTCATTTTATACCATTCTTTTCTTTTTTTTTTACACTTTTTAATTTTTTTTACTTTATTGTTATCACAATGTGATAGCATGGACAAGTGACAGGTCCTCTTTATGGAGATATTGGAAGGTCTATTAGACTCCCCTTTGCCCTCCAACACAGCTTTTCAAGAACAGGTCATGCTTGATTAGCAGCTTCCTCATCTACACTAGCCAAGGAAAAAAAGCTGTGATCCCAGAAGTAATGTAATACATGTCCCTTCCTGGGACATTAGTCACAGGAGGGATCAGGGAAAGAATATTCCCCAAGTTCCACTTACTCTCACTGCATGAGCAGCTTACTCCAGTCCCAGGCTCCCTGGAGGAACAGGAGAGGAAACTACTGTGGGTGCCCCCAGCAGAGGGAAGCACATTGAAAGCCCTGCAAAGTGATTGAGCTCCCCTAGAGCCTCACTGATCACTTTTATTGGAAAGTCCTTTAGGCTAGGTTCACTTCTGTGCGGGTGATGCCGCTGCGGATCCGCACAAAAAATCACCACCCACACAGAAGAATGTGGACCCGCTGGTGGGTGCCATTAATTCTAATGGCAAGCTGCTCGCACTGGAAATCGCAACCGCACTGGGAACTGAGGTTCCTGTGCGGGCCGTGATTTCCATAGAAGTGCAAGGACTTTTTCCCTGTGTGTCCCGGGGCACAGGAGTCCATTCACTTTTATTGGAAAGTCCTTTAGGCTAGGTTCACATTTGTGCGGGTGGTGCCGCTGTGGATCCGCACAAAAATCAGTGCAGACGCACCACCCACACAGAAGAATGTGGACCCGCTGGCAGGTACCATTAATTCTAATGGCAAGCCGCTCACACTGGAAATCGCAACTGCACTGGGAACTGAGGTTCCCGTGTGGGCTGTGGTTTCCATAGAAGTGCAAGGACTTCTTCCCTGTGTGTCCCGGGGCACAGGAGTCCATTCAAATGAATGGGCTCTCGTGCCCGTGCACGGCCGCATATATGGGAACCAGGGGTTACTGGTTGTTATTGCTGGCACCAAGCTCACAGCTGCAGCTTTATTAGCCAAGCTCCCACCTCAGTTCCTCTAGCCAAGGAATGACAACTGTGACCCTGGAAGTGACGTAATACACAACACTTCAGAGGTCATTGGTCAACAGGAGGATTTGGGGAATGAAAGTTCCCCCAGTTTCACCTCATCTCACTGTGCAGGCTGTTTCCTGTGGTTCTGGGCTCCTCAGAGGAACAAGAGAACCTGGGAACCATCGTGAGTGCCGGAGGAGTGGGGCGTACTTTAAAAGCCACCTTAAAGTGATATGGTGGCTTTAGCTATGTCATTGGAAGACCTTTTGCTGGCTGTTAAAACTGGTCCCAAATTTGCGGCTTCAGAAGAAGCTGTGAACAGGGGTGGACTGACAACTCATGGGCCCCCGGGCAATAGGAGATTATGGGGCCCCTGTGTCCTCGCTCACACTCAAACCACACCTAAAAAGCCTATGAAAGGTTCCAGGGGCATCTCATGGGGCCCCTTACTGACCCCTAATCACTTGTCTACCATGCTGGTTAAAAATGTACCTTAGTAGACAAGTGGTTAAACTAACAGTCAAAAGTAAGTGTTGAGAATTTTATTTCAGCCAATGTATGTAACTGAATATGACAGCATTCATTTCTTGACTTCTCAGGCAGTATATGATGGGGTTAAACAAAGGTGTGTTATCAATATGAATATAACTGATAATATTTTGTTGATGACCACAGTGTTTCCTCTCACTGGAATAAGATAATTAATTAACAGAGTTCCATAAAAGACACTCACCACCGTCAGGTGGGTGCTACAAGTAGAGAAAGCTTTCTTCCTACTTACGATAGACGTCATTCTTATGATAGCTATGGAAATACTCACATAACTTACAACAACTAATATAAAGGGTATGGCGATGTGAGGGAAGGCCATAACATACGTATCGATTTGCAGAGCATAGGTATCTGAGCATGCAAGATCTACAAAAGGAGAGAGGTCACAAAAATAATGATCAATGAGATTTTTGTTACAGAACTTGAGATCAAGCAAAAAGCTGAAGGTGATCAATGTCACAAGGAAGCCAAAAATCCAGCAAGAGATAACCAGGAAATACTGAAAGCTGTGGTCCATTATTGTGTTGTAGTGTAAAGGTTTGCATATGGCCAAGTATCGGTCATAGGACATTACTGCCAGGAGGTAGCATTCTGAAGTACCGGTTGCACAATAGAAGTAGATTTGAATTAGGCAGCCAGAGATAGTTATGGTGGCTCCTTCCAGCCATATCACTCGAATCATGTTGGGGACAACCAAAGTCACTAAAATCAGTTCAGCCAATATGAAATTCTTTAGAAAGAAGTACATGGGGGAATGGAGACTTTTTTGGGTTGACACTAATACAATGATCATAATATCGAGCAGCACTGTCACAGTATATATTATATAGTGTTAAAAGGAAGAAAAACGTTTTAAACCCACCAAGTCCAGGGAAGCCAAGAAAAAAGAATTCAGTTACTGTAATGTTTTCATCATTCATCGTCTTTCTCCTGTGGCTGCAAAGACAGAAAACATGGTAATATCTACACTGCTTGTTCTCAATGCATGGTGATAGCACCTAACCACTTCAGCTCTCGTATCTGGACACCCCATATGGTCCAGAACAATTTTTATTTTCACTATCAGTCTGTTTATTTGACAATTACTCTGTCCTAGCAATGTCCTGGGAGTATTCAAGTCAGGCTTCATGAGGTACGTAAATGACCTCACTTAGCAAAATTCTAGTAACGTCCTATGAGGTACGTAAATGGCCTCACTTAGCAACATCCTTGTAACATCCTTGGAGTATTCAAGTCAAGCTTCATGAGGTACGTATATATCCTTACTTAGAAACTTTCTGTTAATCCTAACAGAAATCCAGTGAGATGATAACTTCTAGCAGTTTAATTTCTTCCAATTATTTCTGTACACCTCTTCTCGATACAATGGCAATAAGGAGAGGTGGAAGTTTTTTGCATTGTAAACTGGGAGACCAGCCTCAAGTGAAAGAGTTCCTTCATGGATGCAATGCAGAGAGTGAACATTGTCACCTTGAGGTCTGACTTCAGCTGTTCCATACGCCAAACTTCACAAAACTTTTCAATTAATTTTCTCAACAGCAGTGGGGCCCCTGCGATCTCAGGCTCTCAGGCAACTGCCTGGGCCGCTATGGCCATTGTTAGATCCCTGGGAATGTGTGACTAGTCATGACTACATTTGCAGGTGATTCTATTTTCTCTGATTTTCACAATTTCGTAAAGGTTGACTTGTCAAAATCTTCAAATCTGTTTGATGACCTTGGTTTTCTATATTCTTGAATCAGAAAATTCTCGTCAGGTCAAAAACAATTGGGTACTGTTTGTGTTTTTTTTTTTTATTGGCACTAGCATACAATTTTTCAGGACAAGCTTTTGAGATTTGTCCCCTTTTTAAGGTCCAAGCAGTACCTTGAAAAAGGGGACAGATCCCAAAATCTTGTCCCGGAAAACTGTGTTAATGTAAATAGAAAAAAGTATCTCAGACAGTACCAGTGATGTCATTAGGGTTGGTGTCACCTGGTTGGGTAAAACATGGTGTTACCTCCCTTCCCCGACTGGCATGGAATGTACCATGTTAGTATATGAGGGGGAGGGGGAGTGATGAATTGAATGTACTAGATTAGTATGTGTGGGGGTTGATGGATGGAATATACCATATCAGCATGTTGGGGGGTGGTTTATGAAATATACCATGTCAGTATGTGTGTGTGTGTGGGGGGGGGGGGGGGGGGGATGATGACTGGATTGTACCATGTTAGTATGTCAGGGGTGATGGATAGAATGTACCATTCCAGTATGTGGGGGGGGGGGGGGGGGTTTGATGGAATGTACCATGTCAGTATGTAGCGGTGCAGTAGAGGAGGCTTAGAATGCCCCATGTCTCAGTGACATCAGAGGGGGGTGGTGCAGGGGATGGATGCCTTCCCCTGGTGGTAGAGGAAGAAGTACCCAGCACACACTGACCTGCTGTCTCTCTCTCTCTCTCTCTGATCTCCAACACACAAGCAGTAGGATTCTTCATCCCATCCTCTCCACACACACTCTGACCTGGAGTCTCCGCCTCCTGTCCCCTCTTTATGGGCACCGCCATCTTTCCAGCTCCCCTTTTAGGGATGAATGGGGTTGGACTCCAGAAACATGGCGGCTCATCCCAGCCGGGGATCCTGGCCTTCCCTGGGCCGGAGCAGACACCAGAGAGTTGTCACCCCTCTTGCGGGTGTCACCTGGGTGCGGTCCACAACCCCCATCCCGAATCAGAGAAAACAGAATCAAACAGCCGTTTTACACATTGCAGAGGATTAACCCCTTAGGTCCCACAGTGAGTATAACAAGCATGCTTTACTGCATCTACAGACTGATTGTACTGTTGTGGGTTTAGTAACACTTTAAAGTATATAATCCATAGATGTTAGATTCACATTGCAGTTTGTCTCTAAAAAGCTCAGCTCTCAGTATGTAAAAAATGTTGGTGCAACCTATGGACATGTAATGTACAGTGTAAAGGCTGGGGGGGGGGGGGGGGGGTTCAAAGTGATTTCTAAGCCAAATAAAGCAGGGTTGGATGGGGGGAGTTTGCTTTGAATATTAAAAATGAAGTTTGTTGTGCTTAGTTACAATGTAGTTCCTCTTTAACCACTTTCCCACCGCCCTATAGTAGAAGTACTGCTACACGGTGGCAAGGCTGCTCAAAATCATGTATATATAGGTGATTTGCATATCCGGGTAGGTGGCTAGGGATGTCAATCACCGGGTCCCAGCCGGAGATTCCCCGCCGGCACCCAACGATCGCCGAGTAAAGCTGACAGGGGAGAGACCTCTATGTAAACAACTCAGGTCTCTCTTCTGCCAGCAAGGACATGCTGCTTTGTATCTCTCTGCACAGTATGCCTTCCTAGTAAAAAACACACCGCACACAGTTAACCCTTTGATCGCCCCAGATGTTAACCCCTTCCTGCCCAGTGCCATTAGTACAGTGTAAGTGCTTTTTATTACCACTGATCACTGTATTGGTGTCATTGGGATGTCAGTGACACCAAGTCAGTTCCCACCCAGTGTCAGAATGCCCGCCGAAGTCCCGCTTTAAGTTGCTGATCGCCGCCATTACTAGTATAAAATAAATAAATATAAAATTTCCAGTATATATCCCGCCATTTGTAGATGCTATAACTTTCAAACAAACCAATTAATTAAAAGTATTTGGATTTTTTTTAGCAAAGACATGTAGCAGAATACATTTTGTCCTAAATTTATGAGGAAATTAGATTTTTTTACATTTTTTTACTGGACATGCTTAATAGCAAAAAGTAAAAAATATTTTTTCCCCAAAATTGTCAGTCTTTTTTTGTTTATAGCGTAAATAATGAAAAACACACAGGTGATCAAATACCATTGAAAGAAAGCTCTATTTGTGGGAAAAAAAGACATAAATTTCATTTGGGTGCAGCGTTGCATGACCGCGTAATTGCCGTAATTAAGATAATGCAGTGCTGTATCGCAAAAAAAAGGGCCTGGTCAGGAGGGGGGGGGGGGGGGTAAATCATCTGGAGGGTGAGGGGTTAAAGTAGATAATGATAAATGCAAAATGATTTTCCATGACATGAATACAGTAATATAATCTAGATTTTCGGTTCAGTGGTCTCTAAAAAAGACTCTTTCTTCAAGCATGCATCTCGGTGTCATTCTCCCTAAAGCCTCCGGATCAGACAGGCGCCGAAATCTGCTCCCTAATGATTTAACCACTTGTCTGCTGCACTGCAAATAACACACAACTCATTATATTGTCAATTAATAAGTCATACTCTCATTAGCAAAATGGTTTCACTGCCTGTGTGGTCCCAGACTAACATTAATAAGTGGATAGACATTTACAGTGAATTTCCAGGGGGGTTTTTGAATTGATTAGATTGGGGAAGGATTAGAACTCTTGCTCTCTGGGACCTTGTTAAGGAATTTTCCTTCTATTGCGATAATAAAAATAGTTTTCCCAGACAAAAAATAGGGAAAGTCTGAAACAAGGACACAGAGAGAAAAAAACCTCACAGAGTCCACTCTAATTAAGAAAAACTTTTTTATACAATTTTTATTTCCGCCTATGCTATTGGAAATTTTCCCTAACATCCTGGGTGGGGAAACTATCATCACTGTGAAAGTGGTAGGATTTGTATCCTTCCCCAATCTATAAAAAAAAACATTGCTATACAAGCCAGTTTATTGTTTAATGATGTAGAAAACCAGGGGTGGACTGACCATTTGGACACTCAGGCATTGCCCGAGGGCCCGGGGTCAGTAGGGGGCCCCATGAGATGACCCTGGTACCTTTTTCATAGGCTTTTTTGAGTTTGGGCAAGGACACAGGGGTCCCATGGTCCCCTATTGCCCAGGGGCCCCATGAGTTGTCAATCCGCCCCTGTAGAAAACAAAAAAATACCTCCAGTCTTCAGTCACCATGATTTTCAAATGATTTAAATGTAACCAACACTGCTATCTTTCTGTATGCATTGGGAAATATGTATCAAGCAAATTGGCTACATAATAAAATAACATTTTAAGTTGGAGTTACGCTTTAATAAAAAGTTAATTAGACCTGCGTACAACATTGTTGGATAATCTAAAGGACAATCTACAAAAAACAGATTTGGTTAAAAAAATGTTCAATTAAAATTTACATTTCTTTAGACTCATCTCTATTATGTCTATGGGTTACTCTATTCTTTACCTGGCTTGCAGTCACAAAGAGAATCCTGCATTAAAATTGGAGTCTGGTTCCGCCAAGATAAAGGGAAAATGTGTGGTGTCATCAAACAAAAATCTTTGCAGTAAAGAGAAAGTGGACCTTATTTTATTTCAGGAAATCAGGAATCCTCGATAACAGAACATCTACCCGATCAATCCCATTCTGTTCAATTATTTGTACGATTTTATAGGCCAGAGTCATTTTCATTAACGTTTCATGCGTTCATGAATATTGGTAAATAAATTCTATTTTGTGCTGCTAAGGTGAACTAAACGTTTTTCAGCTATAGATCAATGTGAACTTACAAAAAAAAAAAATATATAAAGCACTGCGTAAATTGCCAGCACTATACAAATACCTGTAAATAATAATAAATATTCAGACTTGAGCAACAAAGACACAAATCACA